AATTCTAACCTTAACCACTCATAATTATTTTTTAGTTTTTCGCAAATCTGATTCATCTCTTAACCCCCTCTCTCACTCTCCTCCCCCACCCCCCATGTTTTATTTTTAAGTCTTCTTGGTCAATTTGTCGCCATTTGTATGCAGGTTTGCTGCTTGCCATTGCAAGTGAAGTGACTACTCATTTTTGTCAGGTTGAAGCAAGTACAAAGTTTGAATATTTATTCTGCATGAATATTGCTGACTTGAGAAAGCCACCTGATTATGGCTTTCTTCAGCATGTTCCAGGTTGTAGCCACCACACCAAAAGAACCTTCACCAGTTTAGAAACCCGAGAAGTGAATTTGTCAAAACATCTTTGCTTTCAGTTTTTCACATGCATTAAAGAGCCTTCGTTCAAAATGTTTTGTTCTATGTATTGTGTCGGTGTTCTTTAAAAGAGTGTTAAAATGACCTGTTTCATGGCCTGTTATCCTGACTGTCAAATGTTCATTAAGTGGAACTAAAGCATTTCACTGAAGTTGGTTATCACATCCATAGGCAATGAAAATTACACTAACACCAAACTGATGCTTATGAAGTATTCTGTAACTTGTGGTCTCGCTCTCCATTTTATTCAACACCATGGCTTTATTGAAAATCGTTAAATCACCGATTGAAAATCTATGTGTTACAAATAAAGTTTAATCTGTTTGTATCTCACTGTTTTACCCACTGAACTTTGCTAGCATCCAAGGAAATCAACCAGATGCGAGGAAAAGAAAAAACAAACTGAAAACCAAACCAAAGACAACTTGTGAATTACAGTTGAATATCAAATTATATCTGTCCAACATGTCATGTCACAGAATCTGTTTTTCTTACAGATCTTACAGACAAAAACTCGCTACATTTTTAGCTACACACAAGCAGTCACTACACTTCCCCCTAATTATTATGTAGCATTTTGAGACAATAAGGCGCGATAAAAATGCAAGTTCTATGCAGCACTATCAGTGACTGAATGACAGTAGGTACGTTGATACTTTGCAAAGGTTTAAGCTTTTGAAAGGCATTGCTTTGTAACAAATCACAATCCTTAAAAAGACTTATTTCTTTTGGTTGTTTTATTTTTATAATCATAATACATTTCTGACGGTTTGGAAAGTAACTGGAAAGGGGAAGGATATTCATGTTAACTGTGATGAAGTTTAATTTGGATTCCTTTCATCTTTAGAGTATCAAGAAATCCTAATTTCATCTTGAAATTTAAACTAGTACTGAGACAATATATTAAAATATATGGTTAGTGACTGTTCTTGTTCATAAATTGAGCCTTTAATCTCTGCTTTATTAGCTGTCTATGATGGCGGACAATAGATCAGAGTAAAATAAAATTGATTCAGCAATAAAAACATTGCAGTACTTTTAAAATGACTTGTATACACAGGATACTCGGCGATGGGGCTATTAAATGCGGAATTAATCCTATTCTTGAGAAGAACCATACAAATCATTCTGGCAATGCTCTTGTTAATTTCTTTCCTATATCACAGTTTGTATTTAGCTTTCCAACAAATGAATAGAATGAGTAGAGAGGTCTACCGTTCAAATGTGGATAGAGGCATTGCAAGCTTACTAGTGTTTAGAAAAATATACATCAATTGTATTAGAATTCTAACAGTGGTGGGATTCATCAGTTTATTTATGAGTTTCTATATGCTAAATTGTTTTCAAACTGTATTGATCTCTGCAAAGATAAACTTACCTAAACAAGCTTAATAACATTTTATTCCAAAAACATTTCTTTGTACCTTGAGCAAAGTTTGGAAATACTTGCCACTTAATTCTTTCAAAAATGGTTGCCTCCAAAGTGTTTCTCTTAAACAAGTCCCTCTTGAAAACATTTTCCGCTCTTTCCAAAGACGTTTGAACAGACGGCATGGATGATTTAAAAAAAAGTACGATGGAAAACTACATTTTATTGATCTTTAATCTTTATCGACAAATAACTTCATTAAACTCAAATAAAAAAAATGTTGCTGGGAACACTCAGCGGGTTGGGCAGCATCTATGGAGAAGGGAAAGTAAATTAACGTTTCAATTTGATGACTGTCAAAACTGTGGGATGTTGGAAGGGAGCAGTTTATAAGCACAAACAGAAAGGGGCAGTGAAAGAAAGATTTAATGGTTTCACAATTTTAGTGAAAATGTCAGGAATTTTGTGTTTTCACAATGGTTTCACAACTTTGCTGTAACATATTTCTTTCACAGTATATCTGGCTGGGGTTTTAAAGTCTAGATGTGACTGATGACAGCGGGAAATTGATGGATTGGTACCAAAATTTTGATATTTCCTTGCGGCTCATCAGAGGAGAAACCAAATAACGCTCAGTATTCCTTCCATGTTGAAGTATTGAAACATTTAATTAACCAATATATTAAAAATAAGCAATTACACTTTACTATAAAGAAAATTTACTGAATGTAATTAAAATGTTAGGAATATTCACTCTTAAAAGCAGCAAATTGTAAAACAAATCTGAGAGTAGTCAGGATTACTGGAGCCCATCAATCAGGCAGATGCTTTGTTGTTTAAGATCAAAGGCTCGTTCGATGTGTGAATTGAAGGGTAACTTTACATTGAATACCTGGAGTTTAATTTACATGGAGGTGGTACTTGTGTGGCAATTTTGCTGATTGATAAGCAGTTATTCGACAAGAAAAAAATGCTGTGCTTCAATGTTGGAAATTAACACTGCAAGAAATCCATATACCAAAAAAAAGTTTTAAAAAATTTGTGTCTTTAGAGAGTTTGTGCTGCCAACGTTCTGAAATCTTGTGACAGGCGCTACGTAAATACTAGTTGATGTTGGTATAAGAGTACTAGTTAATCTAGGAAAAGGACAATTTCTGATTGTTAACTGCTCAGAGCAGTTTCCTCACTAAAGCTGTTTTCAAGTCTAGTTCATATAGGAGAGGAGTTTATGGTCTGTCTCAGAATTACAACATCTGCAAAACCGTGAAGTAGGAGAGAAACGAAAAACTCAACATCAAAGGGACATTGAATCTAAACCTTAGAACTATTATAAATGAATGAATTACCTGATTTGTTTTAAAAATCACTGACACTCCCAATAAATATATTGTGTTGAATGTGTTTAGTGTTGTTTTGTAAATAAAGATAAAACCATTCTTTTTTGCTACACTGTGAGAATGTGTAATTCTTGGGAGAGAGAATTGGTTGCACATTACAGAGCCAGAGCAAATTGATTTTGAGGGGTAATTGTTCACCTCTGGGCATACACTTATCAAGGACTTTGTCTTATGCACAGAGGATAAGCATTCTGCTTGCAGGGAACTATTACAAGTGTGTTACAGGAGGTGACTACAAAGAAACTTGAAAATAGTTTTTCTTGTGCTTTTTAAATTGGTGATTGATAATCGTTTTGTTCGGTTGCCTGCCACTAAATCTTATCAATTTTCATTTGTTTTGTTGGATGAAACATTGGTAAAATGCTGGCAAGTCATTGAATTAGTTTTCATCCAAAAAGGTAACCACAGGAGATGTTTTGTGTGAGCATTTATTTCATTTGAAGGGATTAAAACCAAGCTTTCCATTGTAAACTTATCTCCTTGCATCAAAACTTGTTTTATTGGGATTTCAAATCAGCATTTTTTAAAAAAACAAATGTATTGAGGCTGGTGCACATAAAAAGGCTTTTTGTTTTTGCTTTCCTGCTGTTTTTTGCTCCTATGGCTGTTAACTTTTGTGCTAATATTCTGTCTAAATGAGGCATTGTTGCTCTGTGTGAAAGCCCCTTGGTACAGCTATAAAAGTCTTAACATTCTGGTAATGAGATGTAGCCACAAAATGTATCCCTCTTCCCCTCTTCTCTTTCTCGGACAAGGTTCAGCTCCAAGCTTTTACTTGCTTTTCAACAGGATCCTATTGCACATGACACCTGTTCTTTAAATTGCAGCACAAAGTATTGCATTAGAGGCATTGTCCAGTTTTCTTGTAAAATGTGTTTCAACACAACCAGTGCTGGAAGAGTGGTGAGAGAGGAAGTTAGAATTTAATTTCCTCGAATTATGAGCAGGGGCTCTTAGTGCCAAAAAAATCACAATATTGCCTGAAACCACTTCACATTTAATCACGTTTCCACATTATTGCAATTACTTGTCAGTTATTCACTTTATATTGTACGTAGTCGATATTGAAAGTTAAAAGGTTGGTAATAAATTTGTCCTAAGTCTTAATTATTCCAGATGGTAAAATGACTGCATTTTTATGCTGTTTAAAAGTTTGAGAAATAATAAAAATAAAGTCTGGAACTTTTAATGTTCATTAATCCATTCTGATCTCCATCCTGTACATATCCACTTGGAGCCTAGGCTAGGATTATAGTATATAGAGGCAATTGAACTGACCTGGAACAGGCTTTCTGTACAGTGTTTTTCATTCAGATTTGGAAGCATGTCTAACCTTTCTATGGAAGGATTGGAAAGAATAAAAACATGAATTTGGCTGTCAGCTAAAGGAATCTTTTTTTTTAATTGCTTAAAATGGTATGTAAATGGTATGTAAACATTGAGAAATGCAACTGGTATTATGTTTGTATGGTCTGATCCCAAATCTGCAGCTATACGGATTGTAGACTGGTATGGACTGAGTAAGGAAGCTCCTGAAGATTGAGATCCTATTTACACTTCACAACTTCAGGCATAAGAAGATTAGCAAACACAAAATACTTGAGTGTTTGCCAACTTTTGTTTCTGTTTTACATCAAGCGAAGATTGGAGTTGATGCTTTTCACAAATATGCAGTGTAGCCATCTTCACAAATCAAAAGGACGGAAAAACCCAATTAACTCAAACAAAATTTCATTATTTTTAGTAGTGGTGTTAATTTTTTTCCCAGTTACAGTATTCACATTACATAATGTTAATTTAAATCTTAAAGCACAGCATTACTAGATTTACTGACTTTCCTTCAAGTTCTATATATTTTCTCTTGCTAGAGAGAGCAATTGCAAGACATGAAGTCCGAGAAATTGAGCAGCGCCACACAATGGACAGCCCAAGGCAAGACCGAGGAGGAGATGATGAGCTGGACGACCTTATCATCCTATACAACCGTGTACCTAAAACTGCCAGCACATCTTTCACAAATATTGCTTATGATCTGTGTGGTAGAAATAAGTACCATGTGCTGCATATCAACACAACCAAAAATAATCCTGTCATGTCTTTACAGGATCAAGTGAGTTCTATTTTTCTTTGTTAAAAACTAAGGAATGCAGTATTGCGTCTATGAAGCTTAGTTTAGAGCTCATGTAACACGGCTGGAGTTTTGATTCTTCAAACCTATTATCTGATGTGTTGCCATCACAGATATCAGATTGGTCTTGTTATAAGTTGGTCATAGTTAACTTAAAAAAAACTCCAGCATTTACTTTTGGTGAAGTGCTGTTTGCCAGTCTGAAATTGTACCTTCTAATGGTCTAGATGTATGAGCCACACTGTGGGGACTCAGGTTTCCTGCTATTCGTCCCATTTCTTACCTTCAAATTGTTTTTGCACCGCCTCTTCAGTCATTATATACGATCACATTCATTTATCCAGTAAACATTTGAGTGTGAAGGAATTTTGCATTCACAACAAAAGTTCAATTATGTAAAACAGATTTGATTTTAAATTGTTCTCAAACAAATTCTGATCATTGTTTCAGGCAAGGTTTGTAAAAAATGTCACCACCTGGAAAGAGATGAAGCCAGGATTTTATCACGGACATGTAGCATATCTGGATTTCACAAAGTAAGTGCACTTTTTGGGGCAATAAATTATTTTTAACTTGAAAATTGAAATCTTAACTCTGGTTAAATGCATCTGAAGTAAAACCCTATTGATATAATTATTTTCTGCATATTTTATTTGCTACATTGCAGAAATTGGCCTAAATTGATGATGGGGAAAGTGGGAATCTTATTTCCTAATTCATGCTTTAATTTATTTAAATTTTTACTTTAATGCTGATCTGATTTGATCTCACTGATTATGTGAGCATTTAACGAGCACATTTCCTTTTATTAAAAAGAATCCTTGTATGGTCTAGTACTTAATTTGGAATTCTGACTGTGGGAAAATATCAACATGGGGATTGAACCCCCAACCTTCTGAGTCAAGAATCAACAATGCTACCAGTTGAGCCAGGCTGAAATGTAGAAATAAACAAAAGTAGAATTCTCAAATCTTTACATGTCTGATTGAGGCTAACATGAGTACCGTGACCTTTATCGCGTTTCATTATACGCAATCTACCATAACTTTGCCTTTGCTTAACATTCTTTCGGTGGTCTTCATAAAAATGAAGTTAAACTTTTGAAATCAGTTTGAAGCACAGCATCAGGTCTACATAATGTGTGGGACTTTAATGTCCAAGAACCAGTCACACTCCCGACTTTTTGATAATATTAAGAATTTAGCGCCAGTGAGTAATGCTTTGCACCTATACCAAGTTGTACATGTACAGATCTCGCAGATCCTGTTGCAAGCAATTTGGGAGTGGAAAATGTAAATGCTGGCAGTGATTTTAATTTGTTTCCAACAGTCTAAATACAACATAAAAAATAATTAGTTGGCACAGCAGGTATCGGTATTGGGTATTTTTTCTGCATGGTTTGTCTCTGGTTGATTGGAATTTTGCTATCTCCAGTACTTCCCAGATTTTTATTCTGTGTGTTTTTCTATTCATCTGAGGAGATTTTTCGAATCTTTAACATTATACTTTGTTCCATCAGAACGTTGGTATTTTGTCTTTGAGCCCTTTTCACAAAATGGTTTAAGTTGAAATGATTTTGGGGGCGCGGAAACTTTAGAGAGCTACCATTTAGCAAGTCAGCAAAAACCTTGGATTAGAAAAGCCTTGAATAGAAAATAGAAGCTAAGATCCTGTGGTACTAATATGTAAAATGCATTACGGTGCGCATTAAATTTCATTCCAAACTCTTGCCTTTGGAAGGCCTGGTGGGCCTTTGCCGTCTACATTTTTTTGGTCCTTTTTTTAAGAAGATAACTATTTTGTCTGTTGAGCTTCTGTACTAATCTTTTAAAATCAGAAGTCTTTTATCTTTCTTTCTCTCTTTTCCCCCATCCCTGCAGAGATTTTGCAAAAACTTCCAAGGATTTAAAAATAGATTGCTCCCAGTCTGTCTGGAAAGAGACCAATGATGCACAAATCAGTGCTGAGCAGTAGAGCAGATGTGCTTAGCAGGGATTCCCTGGGCCGATTTACACTGGAATGTGTTCCTTTCATTTTCTCATCATGAACACGATTTATTCTAGATTTCCTGGAGGAATCTGTCCACTACCAATTTCTTTGAAAATAGGCACTTTTATATATAAAAAAAACACCTGGAATATATAACGGGATCTTAATGCTCAAAGTACTTTACTAGACATTTTTTGACTTTTGAAGTGACCGTATAATCTTAATCATTTATTTGAAATTTATAGTGAAATTTAGTCTTTTAACCTTCATTCTCTTCCCCTCTCGGAAAAACTACACATTTTGTTGCTAGAAAGAGTACAATTAAGAGTGTTCGTATTTAAATCGAGTGTCATGAGCAACAAAATAGCAGAGGGAACAATAAAGCATGCTTTGATATTTTAATAAAGCTCTGCATGAGAAAACATGCAAATGTGTAGATGTAGTTTTTCACAAGTTCTGTTTTCTAATTGTATTGTGTGGTTTGAAGCAAAAGAAAAGTTAGAAATCTATAAACCGTTTCATTCTTCTTTCAAAACCTTGAAGTGAATATTGTTTCCCTCTTAGTTATAATGTTTGTCAGATCCACACTTGACCACATTTAAAACAAAATTCCCTACTAAAGCCAAATAGTACTAGATTTATCAAACGATTCCGTCAAAAATGTTGCAAGGTAATCCCAGTAAATATTAAAACTTTGGTAAATTATATGTTTAAATTCTTGAATCTATATTTCCACCTCTTTCTTCTTTGCCCACCCCACTCCCTCCTTCGCTCCCCACCACTACAGGTATGGTGTGAAAAAGAAACCAATCTACTTAAATGTAATTCGAGACCCAATTGAGAGACTGGTGTCGTACTACTATTTCTTGCGCTTTGGTGATGACTACAGGCCCGGACTAAAGAGAAGAAAACAGGGAGATAAAAAGGTAAAACAAGAGCGCGCCATATATAACAAACAAGGCTGACCTAAGAATAGCTACAACTTAATGCTGTTTTATTCTGACATTTTTAGTGCTGCACAGTTGCATAAAAGCATCCCAACCCCAACTTGTTTGTGTGCTGCATTTTCTTCACCTTCACAAGAGACTGTTTGAGCATGTGATCTTGACTGCTGGCATTTAATTTGGCTCTTTATCATGTCTTCGAGACATCTCAAAGCGCTTCACAGAACATACTATAAAGTGAATTGACTGTATATTTTGTGGACAGCCAATTGTGCACAGCAGTGTCCTGCAAACAGTCTTGGAATGAGTGACCAATTTATTATGTTTTTGAAGGAATTATTAACCCTGGAAAAGCGACCAGCAGTCGTCTTAACAACTGGGTTCCTACTAACTGCTAGGTAAACTAGAGGCGTGTGGAGTAAGGAAACTTGCCCAACATTTCGCCCTGCCGGGAATCGAACCGAGATTCGCTTGAGAGGCGAGTGCTCAAACTACTGAGCTATAGTACTCCACAAGGATTTGAAAGAGGAATTCTTGTCCAGTGGTCGCTTTAACCCTTTGCATTCATGATACATTCTCAAACTACTTTCAGTAATCTGCTGTTTTCTTTCCTCCTCTCCAGACATTTGATGAATGTGTTGCGGCTGGTGGGTCAGACTGCGCTCCAGAGAAACTTTGGCTTCAAATTCCTTTCTTCTGTGGCCACAGCTCAGAATGTTGGTAAGTTCAGGGCAAGGAAATAATTGAGTACAGGCCTGCAGCATAAACCTGCACAAATTAACACAAATTGAACTAAATTGGTAAAAATTGGTAAAAGGTTGCTTGTGTGAGAATGTTTACCCTTTGTGCAGTGGAAGTGTTCTGATGTGTGTGATTAGAGCCTGTTGGGTAGATTTAAGAGGGTGCTTTAGTTTGTAACTGACTTTAGATTACTTATTGCTAGGATTGGGAAAGAGCATTTCCATGTCCCAAAACCTTGTATTTCACCCAGTTGGGGAGAAAAAAATCCAACCTTATTCATGATGTGTCACAGGGAAGTAAAGTAAAATGTCATCCCAAGATAATTCCCAAAGTGCTGAATCTGATCATGCAATGTTACTTTAATTCAAAGCAGGGCTTTGTAGATTTTTCTCTGTGGATTTGCACTGACCAAACAAGCTGTGAGCACAGAGCATACAAGCAACACCATATTGGGCTGTAGCATTTGCCAGCATTTCTCTGCTCGTGACCTCCAGCCTACCTGGCGGAAGGTCCAAGGTTGCAAATGAGCTCATTGTTCACTGCAGAAGAAAGAATAGCACCTGTGACCTAGTTATTAAACATCCCTGTTTAGAAAAGATAGCAGCACGTGACACTGAAGAAAGAGATTAATTACTTGTCCTACTGTCCTTACAATTAAATGGGTAAGAATCTCTGAAAGTGCTTTTTCTATCTGCAGCCAACTCACCATCATTACTCTCTGTCCTTATAGGAACATTGGAAGCAAATGGGCATTAGAACAAGCCAGATACAACCTGGTTAATGAATACCTCCTAGTTGGGGTAACTGAGGAGTTAGAAGACTTTATAATGCTACTTGAGGCAGCCTTGCCTCGCTTCTTCAGAGGCGCAACAGAACTTTATCGCACAGGTCAGTCACAAGTGAAGTACATTTCGAAATGTACGAACTAATAAAACATTTTATATTTAATCAGTATGCCTACATCATAAAATGTCCAATTTTAGTGTTATGGATTGTAAATCTTTCAGTGGATTCCAAAATGTTGGGCTAGATTCCATATGTGCATTGTGCTGAATATATTTTGGCAAGCTGTGATGTTGAAAAAAAATATTGAGGCAAAGTAGAAATGAGAACCACCAAGTGGGTCTAGGTTTTATTTCTGGTGATGTATTTTGAATGGAACGAAGAGGAGGATTTGACATAACTCAAAGCAGAACTAATATTTAATAGATTTTAAGAAAACAGACTGGCTATTCAGCATTTTTGCTCCATCCACAGATCTTTAAGATGGTCAATGGCTATGACATTGAAAAATATATCCATGAGTCATGCATTAACTGTGGCTAAAGGCCAGGCAAGCATCCAATCCCAAGGCTCCTCAATTCCATTTTGACCCAGCTGTTGGGATGCACGGAAGGGCGGTTTTTCCTCTGATTGCTATTTACACTGCAAGTAATCACTTGGCATTGACCCATAGTTCAAGTACAATCTGGGGATTATCACAGTTTATCTGTCATGATGCAGCAGATGGGTATGATGGGACAGAGTGGAGGACATATATTGAGAGGTAGAAGATTTACCAAAGCTGCTGTCCAGACTCGCAAGTAACATTGGCAGAAGCCTATGTGCTAACCTTTCAGCCAGGCAGGATGACTTAGAAAAAAGAGAGATGAAAGAAGTGTTAACTGCATTATTATGGCTATGCTTGTCCCAAGCCTTTTGTCATATTCCACATTTATAACCATGGACTGAATTCTGATGCTGAATCTTTTTAATGCCTATTAATAAAACCTGTAATAAACTTTTAGTTCATTGTTTTTTTTAACATTGGTTAGAAAAACAGTGCAGCATTCTGGCGAGTTTGTAATCTCAGTCGTCACGGTGGGAATGTGGAGAGGTGATGATAGATGAACAATAATTTAGTTTGAATTTAATTTGCAACCTTGATTTTAAGATCTGCAAATTAGAATCTGCTGCAGGTTAATCGGTGCAGATAGTTAATCTGTGCTGAAGTGCTGAGCAAACCAATGTTACAGAACAGGTAGACAAAAAAGATTTTAAAAATCTTACCTTAATTTTTATCTGCCTTTCCTCTCCCCTCTCTTTCCTCATTTCTGTTGCACTCAAACAGGAAAGAAATCTCATCTTAGAAAAACAACAGAGAAGAAACTTCCAACTAAAGAAACCATTGCTAGATTGCAGCTGTCGGAGATCTGGAAAATGGAAAATGAGTTTTATGAATTTGCTCTGGAACAGTTTCAGTTTATTCGAGCTCACGCAGTGAGAGAAAAGGATGGAGAACTTTATCTCCTTTCCCAGAGCTTTTTCTATGAAAAAATCTATCCCAAAACGAACTAAGAACAGTTTTAATTACTTGGAGAACTATATCCAATGTCTTTCTGCTGAGTCAGGTCAGGTATATTTCATATACCTTGAAATATATGAACAGTCCACTCACGTTTTTTTTTCCAATTAGAATCAGCAAAGGATTCTTGGTCTACAGTTTGCATCAAATCCTCCATGAGCCACTTCCATCTGTAAAGACTTTAGGGTGATAATTTTGATGCATCGCGTGGACAATTGAGCAAGCAAATCCATTTCTACAAATAGCGCACCAGTTGTGTAGATTCTGTCATTATTGCTAATCAGATTGTGGTATGTTTTAGGGATTCCTGTGTCTTGTAAACTTTTGACTGTAGAACTATTTTTACTAGGGTGCTTTCTAAAGTGTTTCAAAGTATTGTAATTTCAGAGTAAGAAAAGTAAAATGCTGTAAATATTGCACATTTTATGTGTTTGGACCAAAAGGTTACAAAAAAAAAAGTTTCAAGTATTTATTTTGCACCAGTTTTTGTTACAAGTGGTGTAATTGAAAACATTGCATCAGACATACTATATACTGTAATCCTTTTCCTAGGTATGTGATATCTTGCAGTTTGTCGATTTAAATTTGTATGAAACACAATTGTATGTTTACACCAGAGAGAATAATATTAAAAGGGCTGAGAATAGAAGTGCACTATTCCTCAATTTAGTTGAGGCCACAGGTACAGTCATGTTGGAAAGGAATCAAGTAACACTGTCAGCAGCACATAATCTGGAGTAACACATTTTTAATTACGTAAAGGTGATGGAGAGTGATATTAAAAATCTATGTTTTCATTAATTTCACTAATAACAGTTAATTTATTACTGTCGGGTTAGTGTTGAGCTGTTTATGTTATTTCCAGTTCATGTTTCATGAGACAGTTATGTTCCATTTCTTTCTTTTAAATGACAATTTTCTCAAAACCGAAATGTTTCCATTGAGGTCACTGCCAAATGCACATACGATTTATAATCATAATAATCCTTGCATTTGATATAGCGCCTTATCGCATCTTCAAAACGTCTCAAAGCACTTCACAGAATATACTGTAAAGTGAATTGACTGTATACTTTGTGGGAGAAATTTGTCTCTGCTTCAGTCGCTCAACGCCTTCTTAGCAGCTTAGCCAAAAAATATTCAAAAAAGAATCGATAGCGAGTGAAGTCTATGAAGGAGGAACTTCCTTGAGAAAGCTTCACCAGCTGATCAACATTGAGCAACAGAAAAGTCAGAACTGCTTGGGTGAGAAATAGCAGTGGGAGATGCTCATCTTCCAAGATAAATTAATTCATGGAAAAATAATTTAATAAAAATCGCAAATGATGCTGTCAATCAAACGCATTACACAAGGAAGAGAAGTAATGCAAAGTAATGGACTGCCAGATATCTCCTCACAGGGAGGAAATGTAGGTATAGTTTAAGCATATTAATTATTCAATGCATTAGGCTGACATTTAATATCTTTTTAACTGTAAAATAAAATGTAGTTTCATACGCTTAGATAATGCAATGCTTGGAATACTCTTCAATTCCAAAATGCCTCTCCTGTGGGTTCCACTAAAAGTCCTATTCACCCTCTTAGTCTTTTTTTTATAGTCTCTCTGGTTGACATAACAAACATGGAATTGCTAATAAACTGTGAGGAGCTGTAGCCCATGTACACTGACAACAATTGGGGAGGGGGGGATTCTGCATTAACCACTATAGATAAGTTTCATGAATCTATTAGATGTCTGGTTTTAAGTATTCATTTATTTGGTGTAAACTATTTCTAAGCTTTTAGATGTTTGCTGTATATTTATAGGTGGAGTTAGTTTTGTTTGAGTGTATGATTGGTGTTATTCCCAGCATTGTTTCCCACAATAAAATGAACAGAATATTGGAGATGAATGCATGAATAGATAACATACAGAATGTAATTACTGGGAAAACATGGATTGTGCTCTATATAACTGTTTAAAAACACAAGCAGCTGAATAGTGCCTTCCTCATCACAATCCATGTTGTTAAAAAAAAAGTGTACATTCTGAATTAATTTGTACATTGTGTAAAATCTGTTGGAAATGGTTGTTTTTGTTTTCCTTAGTAAGGTTAATTTCTTTTGTTTGTATCTTTTCAGTTTTCCTGATGCAAGTGCTCTCCAATAAATAAACCCATACAAAAACTTGTGTATTATAATTGATATGCACAGAAGGCAGTCATCCATAAGCACTCTGATAAACTGCTCACTGTGTGGTGGCCAATCACTGCAATAATATTGAAATCAAGTCCTCCATATAGAACCCGTCTCCTTCTGCAATGTGCCTTAGGCATGGTTTACAAAGCAATGTTAACCAAGAGGATCCATAGAATTGTTTGAACTCCTGCAATACTATTACAACAAATGTTATTTCATTTTCTACATGAATGATACTCATCTGATGGAAAATGAGTCTTGCGTGATAATGTATTTTAGCGTTTGACAATATCCTTATTAAATTCTGCAATGTGATCTCTTTAGCCTTAACAGTTGTAGGTTTGTCAGTTTACTACACGTATAATGCCCCGGCTATTTATGCAGCTGTATAGAGCTTCTCATTATCAGCTCAAGGGCCTGGAAATCATTCCATAGAGTTACGACTATTCATATTTGAAAATTTGATTCAGAGAATTGCCGTGAAATAAAATTGAGAAGCTGCATTAAAGACACCTTTGCTTTTTGTCAAAGACAAGTTTGAAAAGGCTTTGTACTGTTAATCAATACTGTAGAACTGAGATTAAACAGTCACTGTTCAGTGCTAGAGTATCCATAAGCTATTGTTTGTGTGGCCCAATAAAGGGTTATGACATGAAGAATCGTCTTCCTGCACTGATGTGCATAAGTATCCTTTATATTGACCTATTCCCACTTTTTGAGGAGAACAACAAGATTACATTTGTATAGCACCTTTCACGTCGGGAGGGCGTCCCAAGGCGCTGGACTGTACAGCATTTCAGACCCGAGCTGGAGTCGGGGGGGAGAAGGGAGGGGAAGGGGGGTGACCGATGGCATGGTCGAAGAGGAGGGTTTTGAGGCGGGACTTGAAGGAGGCTAAGGAGGGGGCGAGGTGGAGTGATAGAGGAATGAAATTCCAGAGGTTGGAGGCAGAATGGCTGAAGATGATTATCTGGTATTGTTTTCATTTAATTCTTGAACATTTGCTGAAAATTTAGCTCAAGCTTCTAAAATAAAAGTTCAAACTTATAAAATAATTTTGTCCAGTATTAAGAATTTGTCAATTCTAAAGTTATTAAAGGCTATTGAAAACTTAAACTCATGTGAACAGTCTTTAGATACTGGTTGTTTAAGCTAATTTGCTGATAATTGGGTAAGTTGGAGCCTAACAATATGCTTGGTCAATCATGAAGCACACAAATAGGGAGATTGGGGTTAGTGAAGCTTGGTTTCTGCCAAAGAAGCTTTTTGGCCTCTAGCAGATTGTCCATTGGATAGAAAGGTCCTTCACTATCTTATATAACTCCATTTCGCTCCGGCCTTTTAAAATCATTTTGAAATTGCTGATCCCAGATCAACTTCCCCAACTGACAAGGATAAAGTCAAACTAATGCTTCACACACTTTTTCTGAATATTTCAAATTAGAAATAAAAGGTGGCATATTTGTGCTAATATATACATTTGCTTCTGATTACTGTATGCAGAACATTCCAGTCATGTGGGTTGTTAAATGACAGGAGCTGAGCAGAGAAAGGACCTTTTGGTGTTTCCCTGTAAGACTCCATTGAACTACCTTCAGGTTGCAGTGGGAGAGGTAATACAGAAGCTTGGGGCAGGTTCCTTTTGACGGCTTTCTTAAAAGCTGGCCTCTATTATGACAGATGCGAAAAATATTACAAAGAGATTAAAATGTTTCAGTGCATTGAACAATTACAGAAATAGCTCATTTAAAAATATTGCCCTAATACTTCAGTTATATGCATTAAGATTATACAGAGGGAATACACATTTTGGTGCGGAAGTGGGAGAAAGGAAGCAGATCTGAAAGGGCACATATGATCTGCAAACATGATAGGCCAAGAGTACTAAGCATTTTTGTAGAACTTTTAAACTTTTCAAAAGTAACTACTGTCAAGTGAAGTGATATTATATAAGCAAATGTGGCAATAGGTTGGCCATGATTCCACAAACAGCCATTAAGTGAATAACCAATTAATCTAGAGTATCATTGGCCAGGGCATTGGGAGGAACTTCTCTTTTTGAATTATGTTGTGAGATCTTTAACCTAGGTGTTGTAATATTACGAAAGGAGAACCCTCTGTTGAAGTGAGCAATAGGTAAAAAATATTTAAATCATACTTTTTGTTTATTCTACATGCAACTGATAACAAAATTACATTTATATAGCGCCTTTCACGTTGGAAGGAGGTCCCAAGGCGCTGGGCAATTAAGAGTTTGCACCCAAGCTGGGAGTTGGAATCAGGAAGGTGGCCAAAGGCACTACCAAAGAGAAATGTCTCAAGTATGGCGAAGGAGGCAAGGGTGAAGCAGAGGGCTGCTGGGATGGAATTCCAGAGGATGGGAGCAGAAATGCTGAAGGGAATAATCATTGCATCTGATATACTTGCATACAGAGATGGAACATTGGTTCTCGTCTGAAGAATGGCACCTTTAACCATGCAGCTCGCCCACCCCCCAGGTGAGCCTGGAATATAAACTCAAAAGTCCCTATAAGGTAATTGAACCTTCAACTTTCTGATTCTGAAGTGAGGAATACCAACTAGACTAGGCAAATATAGTATTAGCTAAATGTTTGTGTTGTCTCTCACTACCTATAAGTAAGTATGTGTGTGTGTGTGTATATATATATATATATAGAGAGAGAGAGAGAGAGAAAGAAATCCTGATGTAAATCAGCTGCAATGTGAACTGTAGACGAGGCAAGTGTTCAATTATCAGGAATTTACAACTACAATCATTTTGTTCATGGAAATTGATGGAAAGATGAAAAATATTTTAAGATTTTCAATTGACAACATAAAATGATCAGTTATCAGGCTTTTGTCTCGGTAGAATTGTCTATATATCATTAATTAATATACATATAAACACAAATCAACCTCATAAGGGATTAGAGTACAGTCAAACCTATCCCACAAAGGGAACTTGTTCAGGAAGCAGGGTGGAAATTACGAGTGGATAAAAAAGGAATTAAATTAATTGGGCTGCCTACATATTACATTTGGCAGCCTGACAAAATGGCCATGATTTGAATGATGTAAGACCATTGAGCGGTCGTGCTGTGTTGGCTGCTCTTCCACATTTGATAAATTGACTTTGAATTGATAATCTGATGGAATGAATAGAGTGTAGCTGCTGCAACTGATGGAATGAGGATGAAAAATGACTTGGATCTGTGGAACTGAAGTTACCCGTTTAATAGATCTGATAGAAAATCCATTTATTATGTTTGAATCATCTCTGGTGTAGCTCCAGATGCTATGATGCCAACCCAGAGTGGAAAACTTGGGCAACTCCTACCCAAATCATACAATCAGTTTCAACTAGGGCACGTGAGCTAGGAAGCAATTTGTATAAAATAACTATAGGTATATGATTTTGTCAGGTTTTGTGTGTGCTTTCCTACCCGTATATAGCTTAAACCAGCTATTTCTCTTATTGAAATACCTACATCTGTTAAATGACAAAGGTGATTCAAGATTCATATCTATTTCATAACATCCCTAATATTAATCACATTCTTAAATGTAATTTCATTTTCCACTGGATGTTTTCACTGGATTGCATTAGAAAGTAATCTGCATCTGAGCAAATAATGGCAATGATACTTGCATTTGACAAAATACCTTTTCACATCAAAGTTTGTCAAACCTGATTCAAATGTTCCCATTAACAGCTTTATACTGCATTAACCTGAAAAGGTTTTTCGCTTCATCTGCAAAAGAAAACAAGAATTGCAACTACTTGACATTGGGTTTCAACTTTCATCATAACATCTGGCGCGACACCAGAAATGATTTCAAATATAATAAATTAATTTCTTCTATCAGATTTAAAATCTACTGAAACACTTTAATTAATTTGATTTAATCAGATTTCCTTGGAAGATTATGGGTTCAAGCCCTATTTTGAGACTTGAACTCGTGCAGTCTAGGCTGACCCTCCATGCAGCACTGGTGCGGGTTGCATTGATGGAGGTGCCGTTCTTTGGTCGAGACATTAAACAAGGTCTCTCTGTCTCTTCAGGTGCATGTTAAAGATCCCATGGCAGTGCAGTACTTGAAAAAAAGAAAGAGGTTTCTCCCAGGGTCCTGACCAACAATTTGCCAAATAAAACGAGTCATTCACTTCATGGCTGTTTGTGGGACATTCCTGTGTGCAAATCGGCTGCAGCGTTGTCTACAAGTACAGTCACTACACTTCACAGTAAAATTCCATGAGGCGCTTTGAGATGTATCTGATTTGTATAAGGTGCTATGTCAAAAGCATGGATCGTAAAACCAAACTTAAAATGTTGTTGTAACATAAAAAGTGGTCACTAGATGGCACCATAAGAATATCAAAGTCATTGAAAGTTATCCTGCTCCTTCGCTTATTGTAGTGCATTCAGCGGATTCTGTAATCCTTTCCAGTGGCTGTTAATTGCATAATTAAGGGTATCTATCTGTGTGCGATTGCATGTAGTTAACCCAGCCTGCAAGTTAGACCTTGTTGAACCCTTTGTATTGTTATTCCGCCTTCATTATTTACTTCTGAGGTCTTCTTGATTGCTACCTGTTTGTCAGAAAGATTGGGTCAGTTGGGGATTCTAAGTGACATAAGCCAACAGTTGGTTTTACCTGTCCTGTGTAGCACATGCTACAATATGATCAGAGTGACTGTCCAGATGGCGATTGATTATGTCAGTGATGCCATGCCCACAATTGAAAATGTTAAGAGAAAATGAAATTGACAGTTTGATCAAACCAAATGCAGGCACATGTGAAACTGAGTGCTCCCTCAAAATTATTTCTATTGTACTTGGGGAGCAATCAATCTGTTTTCACTCTTAATATAAGCCCAAAATAGCATTAGTTACTGTGATTCCTGAATTCACGTGTGACTCTTACTCAAAGCCGGACTCATTCCATTTTGGCATCTGCCATGTTGGGATCTTGCAGTGAATTTAACTATTATTTTCTCTAGCTGTTTTGTACGTGTTCCACATTCAAAGCCGCACTAATTCTA